AGTTCCTAAAATTCAACAGAGATGATTCCTCAGTCGAATACGGATGACCAAAGTTCCTAAAATTCAATAGAGATGATTCCTCAGTCGAATACGGACGACCGAAGTTCCTAAAATTAAACAGAGATGTTTCCTCAGTCGAATACGGACGACCGAAGTTCATAAAATTCAACAGAGATGTTTCCTCAGTCGAATACGGACGACTGAAGTTCCTAAAATTCAACAGAGTTAATTCCTCAGTCGAATACGGACGACCAAAGTTCCTAAAATTCAACAGAGATGATTCCTCAATAGAATACGGATGATCGAAGTTCCTAAAATTCAACACAAATGATTCCTCAATCGAATACGGACGATCAAAGTTCCTAAATTTCAACAAAGATGATTCCTCAATCGAATACAGACGATCAAAGTTTCTAAAATTCAACAGAGATGATTCCTTAGTAGAATATGGACGACCGAAGTTCCTAAAATTAAACAGAGATGATTCCTCAGTAGAATACGGACGACCGAAGTTCGTAAAATTCAACAGAGATATTTTCTCGGTAGAATACGGACGATCGAAGTTCCTAAAATTCAAATAGAGACGACTCACCAGCAGAATAACGGACGACCAAAGCTCCTAAAATTCTACTTCTCTCAACAAAGATCAGCCTTCCCCAACGGAATCTTCCTCAACGACAAGTATACATGCTCTCTCTAAGGAATCTCTTATGCGATCAACACTCCTTCATATGGCATCTTTAAGCCCATCCCCTTGTCAGCAATTTGAAAATGGCATCTGTAAGCCTATTCCCGATATCGCAAGACGGTCACCACTTCATGCAAGTGCAAATTTCTGGGCACTCTAGTGTTCAATCATCTTCCACCTTCAGATCACGAAAGGCAGACAAGCCAATCTAAATCTTCAGGTTTAAGAAAATTGAACAGGGGCAGTTGTTGTACCCCAAAATTTTCCCTCCCATATTCCTCAAAACATTTCAAGAAAGATCCCCAAGTGGCTCAAGGTAGTCCAAGGGTTGACCAGACAAGTCCTCTCCTAAGGCAGTCTACCTCAAATTAGGGTTTCATGTTGCATCAAGATACTTGAGTCCAAGTGATCCCAAATTCTCACAAATGTCCTAATATGTTCTCAAGATCATCCAGGTCAAGTTTCAAGCCCTACAGAGGAAATTTGCTCAGTCAATTACTCAAAGGCCTGAAAATCAACTATGTTAGGGTAAAAGTCAATTGTGGCCTACATACAGTCAAACTTAAATATTTTTGGTCAACATCCTCATTTTGAAGTATATTTCATCATTTGATAAAGGGTTGATCATGATTCATCAAGGATTGCTCATAATTCATCAAGAACCAAAAGTTGTTAAATTAGGGTTTTGTAGGAAAAGTCAACTCAACTTTGACCAAGCATAACTTTCTCATACTTTATGAGAAATGACCCATCCAAAGCTCATTTTGAATAGGATGTAATTACCTACAATCCATATTCATCTCCCAAGTTCAAAATATGCACTCACAAGAAGTTATGAATTTGGACATTATAGGTCATTTTGAAAAGTCAACAAAAACACTTTTTTTATCAAAGCTTCATACATGAGCATGGAATATAAAAATGAGATGATACCAAAATGGTTGATTAGAGAACATCTCAAGCTTTCTAAAAAGTCCAATAACACCTCCAAAGATTCAAAATTGAAGAAGTTATGCATTGGTGAAGTTGACCTTTTTTGCAAAATTGCCAAAAGTTAACTATGTCTAAAACTTTAATTTTTGCCAAATGGGCCCAATCTTTTTCATTTGTTTTTAGTTTGCAACATAGTCCACGAGCTCTAGCCTTTGCCACTTATCCTTATCATGTTTTTATTATTTATTTTGATTTTTATTTGAATTAATTCAATTTAAATCAAAATAAATCATGAGAAAATCTAAAGCATTGAAAACTCAAGATTTTATGTTTGTTTCAGGTCACAAATACAATTGGCAAGTATTCAAAATCGTGCAAGGAATTGGGGTGGACAAAAAGATTGATTTTAGGCCAATTTTGGAATGATATTCAAGGGAATCAAATCACAATCAAATTCAATAATGGAAGAAGATTGAGTACATTCTATCAACCCTAATCCATTCCTTGATACATATAGAACAGAGGCAGACCAAAAACTAGGGCAGAAGGAGGCGCGTGAACCAGAGAAAAACTTGAAAAAATACCAAGAAAGTGTAAACACGAATTCCTATTTCCAGGCATCCTCAAGGCCTTGTAGCTATCTCAATTGATTCCTGGGATCCTCAACAAGCTAAAGCAATCTAAAGCAAGTGTTTCCATGCCCTATATAGCGTTGTAAGTCAGTCACGATACCCAACTTTTCTTGAAATCGAATTCCATGATTTAGGCATTGATAGCCTGAACTAATGATATATTCTTGATCCTTAAGACATATGCAAGCTTTTTGTGTTGTTTAATTGCGTTTATATGGCCTATTGTGGATTTCACCATTACTAGGGTTTCTTGCTTCAATTTGGGAACTCTGTGTGCAGGCAAAATTAGGCCATGAAAAGGCCACCAATGTGTTCAGCAAGACTAGACGAAGCTATCCATGGCCTTCATTGTTATTTAACATGCTTGTGTTGAATTTTAAGAATGTGCAGGCCTATAGCTACGGACATATGTCCATAGGTAAAAGTGTCCCAACTTTTACCAACGGTGCAAGGTTGAAGACGCCTGCATGTCACCTTTCCATTGGCATATTTGAAATCTGGCGCGTGTTTTCTTGGTTCTCCACTAATGTCCTTTATTTTATATATTACTATTATTACTTATTCTATGTACAGACAAGAACAAGTGGTGCAGTGGTGATTGTAGCGTTGGTAATTGCTTCAGGATCTGGGTTTGAATCCCAGGTCCCCCACTTTCTTCATGTATTTTTCTTTCAGGTAATCACATGCGTGCATAAATCCAAGGCCTATCAAACTCCCTCAAGATCCGGTCTGCCAAGTAGCCAGTTGGCCAAATACAAGGGCCATCAAGGGGAGAGCACCATGGATCCTAGTCAAGGCAATGCGCTGGATCCAAAAAAGTCAAATGTGGACACCCTTGGGCTTGGGCCAGATTGTTTCTCACACCCTCCAATTACTTTTCAGGCCCATTCTTTCTTATCTTTTTTTTCTTCTATATTTTATTTTATTTCATTTAATTTATTTATTTTATTTTACTAACCAATCAATTATTTTTCTTTTTATCAAAAAAACATAAAAATAACACTTTTCATAAACTAGGTCTAGATTTTATTTATATTAAAAAATTAATTAATTTAATTAGGTTTGTTAATTCAACGTAAACTTTAATTCTTTTTTGTAAATAATTAAAATTAATTAGAACAAATAGGTTTTTTTTTATTTCTAATTTAATTATATTTTATTTTCCTAAAAATAACCAAAAATATAAAAATAGGTCTGTTGTACCCCAATTTTTGACCTAAGATCCCATTTTTATTTTTGCATTTTTTAAGATAAGTCAAGGTCACGAAATACGGTCGGTTTTAACGTCTCACCTTCGAGCTTTGACTATGCGAAGATTGTCAAGTGTTTTGAACATTTTTAGCATATGTATCACTAATTTCTAATCGCATACAAAGGTGTATGTTCATGTTTTCTTTTGTGTCATGTGCAGAGACAGGTCTGAATCAAGAGCATCAGGTGTCGCGCCTCAATTAAGGTTTTGAGTCTCCCAAGCCAGAAGTACAGTTGGTTGTGGATTCTCGAAGACTGATTCATCAAGGCACACCGTTGCACCCTTAATTTCGCCCCTAATATGTTTTAGTCGCACTTTCATATCATATTTTGTTATTTAGTCACAATCATTAGTAAATATCTTCATTCATCTCATTTTGCATCATTAGTCGTATTTAAGTTAACCAGGAAAAGTCAGTTTAAATCAAAGTTTGCATCGTCATTCAGTTGTAAAATACCTGACATTTCATTTCATGCATTTTTATCTCTTTACTCGTTTCTTGCATTGCTCCAAGTTGTTTATATGTCGATAATAAAAATATTTTGGTTTCATAGACAAACTGTTAAAAGCGATTCGACACTGTGCAGAAAATTAGTGAGAAAAATATTTCAAGTTTTCACCTTTTACCGATCATTTTATGAATCTGCGTTTCGCGTAGATTATGACGATATGCTCGCTTTATTTTTTCGATACAATTTGAAGTCTCGTTTTTAACCGTAAACATCTATTTTAGCCCGATATTTTTATTATCATTTTATTTTGATTTCGACTTCTTGAATATTTTTTATTTAATCTTTGTGACATGTAGTTTATTTTAATGTGTTCATATTAATTTTTCGGATAAATTTTCTTCCATTTTTTATTGTTTTTAGTCATGTTGGGTCTTTATTTTTTATTCAGAAACGATTCAAAAAAAAAATTTAAATGGAGTTAATTTTAATATTTTTAGTCTTTTTGGTTATTTTTATCATTTAAGGGCTATTTGGTCACAAAAAATATTATTTACACTATGCTTGATTTCTATTGGTTGTTGACAAAGTTTGAGGATTAATGCAGAATGATTTTATTTTGAATGGACGTGATTAACTTTGAAATCAATTTTTCTTTTTTTCATTTTTCTATATAAAGCATATTTATCTCTTTGTTGAAAAAAAAAAGAACAAAAAAAAAAGCATAGCAGTAAACAACTCATACACCTACTCTTCCACGAATGCACATATATTTTCACAAAGAAACTTGTTCTTTTCTGGTGTAAAGAGAAAGCCTTTGTTTCTTAACTTTTTTGGTACATAGTTTCCTTTTAACACTCACACAACACCAAATTCTTTTTCATTAGAACACACAGTAGCATCATATCCACATTCATCTCACTTTTTTCTAAAACAAGTCACAACCATAAGCCGCCTCCATTGAAGGTCCCTCCGTCCAAACCGAAGCTTCAATCTCACGCATCGTGGCCATCACCGATCTAATCGCAAAGCACTCTTCCGGTTCCATGTTCAACATCCTTCACTCTCGCTCTCACTCAACCAAACATGGAAAAACAACACCACCATCATCAAGACTGCAACACTCCAAACTCCATCAGAGCACAATCACCAACCACCACCGGAACCTGCTGCAACTGCGACGGTCCCACGACATTCCCACCACCGCCAGTATCACCCGCCTTCTCAGAAATATCCCCACCACCAACTTACCGCCCCATCCGCGCTCCGGCGATCCCACCGGACCCACACTCCCAGCGCACAATCATCCTATCTCCGGTCCCTCAGGCCCAACACGTCCTCACAGCATCACACAACCTCCAGCGCTAACCCCTTCCACCTCCTTCCTCAACAAACTCCCTCTGCCTATGTTTCTTTTGGATCATAACGATCCTTCAAAGCTTGTGTTTTTCTATCAGGGATCTGGAATGCAGCTTGGTGCTGAGGGTTTTACTGTTGGATTCTTGTATACACTTGCGGGTTTGCTTTTGGCGTTTATGAGCCATGGGCTTGTTAATGTCAAGAGTGTTAAGGTGCAGAGGGTGGTTATGATTTTTGCGTTGTTGGTTTGTTTTTTGGCTGTGAAGCAGGTTGTGTTTTTGGATAATTGGAAGACTGGATATGGGATTCATGGATATTGACCCTCTAACTGGAACTTTGGAGGTTTGGCGCGGTCTATTTGATTTCTTTCCCTCGGAAACTTGAGAATTTTGGGTATGTTAAACTATGCATTCCTTTGTGAAATCTGAAAACTTACTGAGAATGATGTCTTATATTATGTTAGAACTTTAAATGTAGCTTCTCATTGTCCTTTTGTGCCAATGACTCAGATTTGAGTATGAAACAAAAATTATAATCCTGGGAGTACTTTTTTTTGGATGTGTTATGGTTAGTGGTAATTGGATTATGTTGCATATAAAAAATAAAAAAAATATATTAGTAAATCTTATAATTAATTTAGTTTAATATTAATTTAGAATTCTTTAATTAGTTTAGATTTATTTTATAACTTTAGAATTTTATTTCATTTAGTAAATTTTAGAATTTTATTTGTTTTAGTTTAGTTTAATAACTTTAGAATTTTAGTTGATTTTATTTAAGTTAACTTTAGAATTTTATTTGTTTAGTTTTAGTTTAATAACTTTAGAATTTTATTTGATTTTATTTAAGTTAACTTTAGAATTTTATTTGTTTAGTTTTAGTTTAGTGACTTTAGAATTTTTATTTGATTTAGAATTAGTTTAATAAATTTATAATTTTTATTTGATTTAGAATTAGTTTAATAAGTTTATAATTTTTATTTAGTTTAATAACTTTAGAGTTTTTATTTGATTTAAATTTAGTCTAGTAGTTTTAGAATTTTATTTAGATTTAGTTTAGTAACTTTGAAATTTTCATTTGTTTTAGATTTAATTTAGTAACCTTAGGATTTTAATTTAATCTAGATTTAACTTACTAAATTTTAAAGCCTTAGTTTAGTTTAGATCAAATTCAATAATACTAGATTTTTTTATAACCTTAGAATTTGTAATTAGTTTAGAATTATTTTAGTAAGTAATTTTTAATTTAGTTCGAATAACTTCTTTGGATAATTAGTTATATTCCTTTTTATTTGTATATTTCTGTCATTTCAATTTCTCAGTGCCTCTTGATCATTAATTTGTTTTTGTCAGATTTATTTTCTTGTGAACTTCTGAATGTTTATATTTTGATGTTCATTTTATTTTGCTTATCCCAAGGGAAATATTTTAACTTTGTTGACTTCATGTCATCAAATATCTAATACAATCGTGCGAATATCCCCATTCATTTTTTTTGCTTGTTTACTATTTTTCCAAACTTAAGATAATTTTCCCAAAAAAAAAACTCAATTTTAAAACCCACCCCTTTTAAGTCAAAACTCCAACACCGATTTTTAGCCAAACGAACCATTTTAATCAAACAAACAATTTTAACCAAAAACAAATATTTCAAAAGGTTCCTGCGGAGTACCGCAGATGCATTGGGTGCTAATACCTTCCCATTATATAACCAACCCCCGAACTCTCGATCTCTTTCAAAAACGCATTGTATTTTTATTACTTTTAAGTATTATTTTTCATTGCATATTTTAGGGTTTTATTTCGCTCTTTTCCCTTTTCCCTTGGAAATAATAAAGCGTGGAGGCGACTCTTGCTTTTGTGAGTCAAGTTAATTAATAGCTTGATCTCCGATTTTCACCGCTACAGGATTGGCGACTCTGCTGGGGAAAGATTGACCTCTTGCTGGTCCATCCCTAAGTGGGTTAAGCCTAATTTGTTTTATCTGTTTTATCATTATTTGATTGTTTGATTATATGTATATATTATGATTATTTGGGTGTTGATAATATTTATAAAGGACAAGTCCTATACCCGGACTAAGTTACACTTAGGAATAGGACGGGTGGTATAGTCATGTTAACTTTGAGGGAGTAATCCCGAAGAAGGAGGCATGAGATCCCCCACTCAGTGGAAGGCCCTTTTGAACGTAATATTTGTTTACCGAGTAATCGGGAAGACATTATTATTTTCGACCTGGGAGCCAGAGAAGCTGGGAACCGTAGAACCCTAACCCATCTTGGCCTTTTAGGTGTAGCGCGGAGATTATAACGGAGTAATCCGGAAGTAGTTGTCACGCGATGCTACGCTCGGATGAGTTTATCTTGAGAATATTGTTGATTATTGAGTAATCAAGACATTGGTAATATCCGAAGGAGGAATGTAGACTCTGGGAACTCTTAGAACCTTGTTCTACAGGTGTGATTAAACCGTTAGTACATACCTTGGGGGTGTTCCTTACCTTGACTCCATGCTCGTGACGTTGAACCTTTCGACTTTATTTGTGACCTTGCTTATGGTTGTTGCATAGCCATGCATTCATGCATCCATAAAACCCTTTTCACTTGACTTTGAAGGAATTTGGAGGTCTTTCTTTGTAAACATCACAAGTTTTGTCAAGCTCAATGGATCTTGGGTGTTGATAGGGCGAAAACCCTAATCCACCAAAATGGATGATTGATCTTGATGATAACTTGATCAATGTTTGGAGCCAATTTAAAATTCATCTTCTATCTTCATACTTTGATGTTTACAACTTAATATCTTGAGTTCCTTGAAAATTAAATAAAAACTCTTTTTTGCATATCATACATCGTTCTACATTTTTTTGTTTCACTTTCAAAGGTCTTTTTCCAAGTCTTATTTTTCCTTTGGTCTCACCAGTACAACACTCGCGCTAAGAGAACAATGGAGAATATCAAGCAAGAGATTTCTGAACTCCACAGAGAGATGACTAATTTGAAAGCTAGTGTGGAGCACTTAACTGGTTTGGTTGAAATTTTGGTTGCCGCCCGAGTCAATCCTTCTAAGAAAGAAGAAGTGATGATAAAAGTCTTCACTGAAACTCTAAAATCATTCTCTCATGAGAAGGTGATGGTTAATGCACCTAATGACTTTCCTGACAAGGTGAATATGGGAGTGCGTCTAGAAGAAGATGTCGGAAAGGGATGTTCATATGAAGATGGTAGCTCAGCTAATGGTGTGAAGAAGTTTGATAATAACTTTTCCAAGAAGAGAACCAGAGGAAGAAATAATCATCGTCAGAATTGTCATGTTTCTCCTATTCATTAACAGAATCAACAAGTTCCTAATCAGAGGAAAACCCAGTTTGATCCAATTCCAATTACCTATACAGAGTTGTTCCCTATCCTGATGCAGAGGAATTTGGTTCAGACCTGACCTCCACCGAAGGTTCCTGAGAAGATACATTGGTACTACAAAGCTGATTTGACTTGTACCTTTCATCAAGGTGCTCCTGGGCATGACTTGGAGGGTTGCTTTGCTTTGAATATTGAGGTTCAGAAGTTGGTCAGAAGTGGTATCTTGTCATTCAAGAACGTTGGTTTTGAAGTTCAAATCAAGCATGTGCCGAAGAGTAAACACGATTGATAGTGACTTTGATTTTTGAAGGATGTTTTCGGTAATTCAAGTCCATATGGAAAGCCTTCCCAGATTATTAACTTATTTATGCTTTTTGTAATTTTTCTTGTTTATCAAAACATTGTTTGCATGTAAGAACTTGTTTGCATCTGAATGATTATCTTAATACAATGAATATGTTTGTCTTGAAGAAATTCATTCGTTTCACTCATATTTGTTTTCAAATTTTAAATTGCTTTTGCACTATGATACCAAATTGTTGCTCATTCTCTTGCCTAGGCAGAGATTGAAGGGAGGATGATGATCTAAAGAACACAAAATCTCTGGTTGTTTGCTTTTGGATAAAATCTTGCTGATGATGTACATGCATTGTTTCAAATCCCTAAACACCGGAGATATAAGGAAGATAATCCCTTGCTAACCCCTTTTGAGCCTTTGAAGCAGAAGTTTCTTTTCTATACGAAAAAACCTTGAATTTTAACCTGGGATAGGGTAGTTTTTAGTTAATCTGACTGAGTGTTCAAAATTCATAAGGAAGATGTTTTTTGAAGAGAAACTACGAGGGCTATCCTTCATGTATAATGAATCTAGAGGATGTGGAACCACAATGTTATCCCTCATTCATCAAGAAACGAGGCAATCACAATCTTCTCAACAAGAAAATACAAGCTAATGTCACACATTTTGTTCAAAAAGTCAAAAATCGAGAAAAAGAAAAAGCCTGCTAAGTTAAAAAAACATGAAAACGTGTGACTTAGGCAAAATTAAGGCATCCCGCTGGACTATCAATTAAAAAGAATTAGTTCAGGAAAAAGTTAGGGAAAATAAAAATTGCAAAGAAAAGGACTACAAAGAAAAGTCCTCAGCAAAGAACAAATTGGTGACTACAAACACGAAGACATGAGGGTGGTTTCTACTCCGAAAGCCTTGTCGTTTCCTTGACCGTCACAAAATCCTTTTGAGAGATGAACACTCATGTTGAATTAACTGAACAAAGGGTTGGAGAACATTATGAAGAATGGGTGGGCACCAAATATTTTGAGCCTTAAAATCTTTTTTCTAAAAAAACCATGAACCAGACCACGCTACAACCTTCAAAAGTCCTAATTGAAGCAAGATTATTTTGAAAGCATACTTCAATGAGATAGTGTTCCTAACTCCCATGAATGTTCTAAATAGTTATGTTGGTATCATATGTTTTTCCTATACAAAAATAAATGGTGCTTTAACTCGCAAAATTTGTGCGATATCTTTTCAAAATCTTCAAGACTTACATAACTGTTGCATTAGAATTTTCATTCCTCATAATAGACTTGTTCTAACTGCAAAACATTTGTTTGATATCAAGGAAGCTCACATATAAGCACTAGTGATGAGTTTGTTCTTTTAAGGCCTGAAACTATGTTGAGTAATGGGCTAATCATTTCAAGAAAAATCATATCCAGGGGCATGTCACCTAAAGACCTTGAACATGGACATGTTGCTTCTCACAGTTAATGCTTTCCCAACTTGTTTACTCTTTTGGGGCAAAAATTTGAAGACTTCATTGTGCCAATTACAGTCAATCCGGGGCAATCACGTCGAGATTTGACGAATCTCTATAAGAGTTTGAAGACACCAGAGCATGGTGAATGCCAAGTCTTTTGTAAAATCCTCTTGAGACGATTTCTCCCCATCAACCA